TCTTCTCTGCACAATTATAGTATTCTAAATAACACATCTAGCCAGGAGTGACTAAACAAGGCAGAAATAAAGCAAACCAGAACCATCCTTCAGTGAGGTAACCAGTATGCTGCAGCTATGGGGAACGTCTTCACAGCATACTGGAGTGTGTCACTTATTCACTTATGTCTTGCATGCAAGGAAAAACATAACACACAGCTGAGGCAAGCTGTTCAATGCACTACATAGTGCAGTTTCACGATCCACTTGTCTCAGTAAGGCAACTCATTTTAGAAGCATTCCACTGTATATATTAAAGGCAGATGAGCTTGCAAAGTACTCTTTTTGTTCGCTTCCCATGTTTGAACTGCTTGCCATGTTCCGAGCACTAGCAGATACCCCTAAGTTAGATCCAACATACCTTTTGTGTTTTCCTGATGGTGGGTGCCATGTCTTTGAAATAATCGGGCTCCTCTGCCTCGGTATCATTTTGCTGGGGCACAACACTACCGTTTCCCCCTTCAATCTTAATACTCGTAGGGGCTTCCTCATCCCAGGAACTCCATTCTTCAATCTCAGGCTGCAAGAATGACAGGGGGGAAAAATAAGGACATTAAAGAATGCACATCACAGGATCTGTGTGACAGCGTGTGTTACAAGTTCCTGTAAATTGAGTCAGTTTCAGGAAATACCTTGGGATTCACGAACGGAACTACTGTTGCTGCTGCTGTGCATTCTTCACATACACTGGAAGAACGCTAGCACGATTTCTAACACATTACAGGATTACTACTTTTAATACCACGCTGCTCATTTTAAAGACATAACACTAACACTAAACACAATGACTCAATCTCATTTCGATTAGAATCGACAATGCCTCATATATCAGGAAAAAAAAAAAGGATTACAGATCTCTTTTCGCATAGACACTGCAGCTCCTAATGGAGTTCAGAACCACTCGTTGAGGAATTAGGATTTGCTTGGGCGAGTCACTGACCTGTTTGGGCACTGTGGAAAAATCCACCGTTGTTGGTAAAGTGATCTGGTCCCCACTCAGTTTCCGTAACCTTCCAGACCTGAGAATGAAAAGCAGGAAAGAGACAGATGAAATATGCATATGTATTATTAACGGCAGTCGCTGAAAAGCTTCTCCCAACTGCCCCATTCCTTTCTCTGCCAAAGTTTCATTTGCACAGTTCCACAACGTTTCGGTCTTAGGTTTTTGTGTCATTTTGAGAGCTGCAAAATATTGCAAACTTCAAAGTAAAAAAAAAAAACAAAACAGTTATCGCACAAGAAAGGTTACAGACACCCAGCTCATTGTGCTTAGTTGTAGTTTAGCACTAGATGCAAGTTTAGATTAATTTAGCTGTACCTTGAAAGACTGGTGAGCTCTCACCATACACCCACAACATTTTGTGCTCAGAAGCATGTTCTGTTCTCCGACCTGAATAAAATCCCTTTTACGTTTTTTGTGTCTTTATTTCACAACCAAGTGAGACACAGAGGGGACGCTATCTGTGCCTCTTAGAATTTTATATACTTGAGCAAAATCACCTCTCAATCTTCATTTAAACTGACAATATGGAACTCCTTCGTCTTGTCAATTCAGGCAGACTTCTTTTTGTTCTTTTTTTTAATTTTTCCCATTATTTTTGTGTTCCGTAAGTTATTCTAACACGTTTTCGGCATTGCAAGCTATTCTAATAAGAGTCAAGGCTACATGCCTGACATTAGGTCTCCTGGTTTAGATAGCCATTCTTGTTTCTGTGGTGCAAAAGGGAAACAGTCCCAAACCTAAGAGCACCAAATGCAAAGACAGGGAGAGATTTATAATTATTTTCCCATTCACGTCAAATGTAGTGGACTGTGAAACCTATTAAAAATACAATGTTTTGCTGAAGGGGACTGCTGACCAAACAGCAAGGCAATTTCTCATGTTATTGTTTCTTTTCATAGCTGACTTCCCTCTTTTTGTCAGTTGCTACAGAGGACAATTTTCTGCACTGTCATAGAACTTTAACTATAACAGGACCTGTATTACAGGCAGAACTTGTTTTTGTGTTATAGTTTTGATACCAAATTTAAAAGTGGCACGCTATGGCAGATTATTTAAATTGGAGTGAATTGCTTTTCATCACAAATACAGACAAGTGACAATGTTAACAAGCACCATATACCAATTCAATTAAACTACATAAAAACCTGTCACACTACAAAATTGTTTACACTCATCAAACGTTACGAGGGCAAGAAAATCATCACGAAGATTAATGAACAGGAAATCACACCTGTACAGACTGACATCAGAATGCAAATACCACAATCACAAATGTCTGAATTCAATATTCCACGCAAATGAAGCCCAAAGATTAGACTTGTAAAAACAAGCAGTGAAACAGATGTGGTGGCTCATTGCTTGGATAAATAGTTTGGTCTAGAAATGGTTTGCTTCACAAAAACCTCACAAAATTTCAATATATAGAATATTTTTTTTTTATCGGACCTTAATTAACGTTACCCTGATCAGTGACATTAGTAACAAATATATAGTGTAATGATTTCTAGTACTGTATTGATGTATAAACAGCATAAAATGATAAAAACATATTTATTTGACACTAAGAAGTTTCTTTATGGACAGATGTGCACAAAACAATGCAGACCCTCTTAGACAACGACCTGGATATTGGGGGCAGCACAGTTGTGAACAGGGGAATGCTACAAGGTCTCGCGGTTTCTGGACATCTGCTTTCTGACAGGAAGAGGTGGCTTGTTTATCTCAGAAAGACGCAGCCAAACCAGCGGATGATAAGCCAAAGCCTGGCCTGTTTTTTCCCAGCTGTAGCAGTTCTTCCTTGGAGGAAAAGCGTCAACCAACAGTGATGAAGAAAAACTGCAGCCTCTGGCTGATTTTAAATGTACGATTTTAGATATTATGTGATATGCGTCTCACAAAACTGGGCAAATTTGTAAAGAAACAAACCTTTCAGATGCATCATCATCATCATAATAATACCTTACACCTACTGTATATAGCGCTTTTCTGGACACTCCACTCAAAGCGCTTTACAGGTAATGGGGATCCCCTCCACCTCCACCAGTGTGCAGCCCCACCTGGATGATGGGACAGCAGCCATAGTGCGCCAGAACACTCCCCACACATCAGCTCTCAGTGGGGAGGAGAGCAGGGTGATGGAGCCAGTTCATAGATGGGGATTATTAGGAGGTCATGAAAGGTAAAAGCCGGGGGGAAATTCGGCCAGGACTCAGGGTTAACACTCGATAACACAAGAAACATCCTGGGATTTTCAGTGATCATGGAAGGTCAGGAGCTCAGTTTTAGGTCTATCCATTTTCCACTGACACTTATGAGAACTACTCCAATTACCCTAGTAGAGTGATTAACATGATGAGCGCAAAAGACAAAATGCGTAAAAATCTCAAAAACGCAGCCTCACTGAAGAGAGGCGATGTGGGGGGGTCGTGCCACGAGGGTGGACTCTTCAGTTCGGCTGCGAAGAACATCCCTGTGCTCGCAGGAAAATTTCTTCGGGGCCGAAAAAAAAACACATATGACAACGCATGTGCCGTTCTTGTGAAAACTCACAAACGGGTGTTGGTAAATGAAGAGATGGGTGTACCTTCTGTTTATCTCTTCGAACACGTTATGGAACTGTACCAGTATTGTGCTGTGCTTAACAGTGATCCCCAAAGAGGCGTGTACAGACAAGCTATCATTATGATGTTGGGAATGTATCTCCATGGGCGTCATGTTATAATGACCTTGGTTAATGCTTTGAGCTAGTAAGAGCACTAATCAAGATACCTTAATACTTCACACAACTGAACTCCAGGAGATCGATGACTGGATCAACAGAATAGATAAATATATGATATGCTTTGCATCAGTACTGTTTAAATGTGTAACATCAAAAAAACTGACTTGCCCTCCAGAGGCAAATATAATTTTTAAACATTATTTTAATTCACACGTATATTTGCAATAGCCATCACTTTCTACAACATTTCTCATTTATTTGGGTTTTTAGGAAATTTCAATGAAACAGATGAAACAGGAGCCTGCTAATGACCTTAAAAAAGAAACTCTTAAAACAGTGTAAAGTATGTGATGAGCAAACATATTCTGCACTTACCTGCATATTAATCTTTTAAAGAAAGACAGCACCGTTGCTAAGCATGTACAAATCCTAAACAAGCGAAACTGGGCGATAGCCATAGTGAAACTGAAACCTGTGGAAGATATTGAGAGAAAACACTTATAAAGAACATATGGGATGGATCAATAAAGGTATAATTTTGAGGAACAGTCATATAAAACCAGTCAGTATAAAAACGGTCATGAATCGGTCCTATTCACAGACGTCCTGCGCGTTTACAAGTTTACAAGAGAAACAGTTGTCCTACTGCCACTTTTGACTGAAGTTTACAATAAGAGATGCTATTAAAACTCAGAATAACGTCTGAACCTTGTGCTTTCTGTGATTAAACTATTTCTGTTACTGTACATTACGTTTTCTGTTCTCGGTTCGTAGGGTATAGGTAACTCTGAGGAAGCTGTACCTGTTTGTTTACTGAATATTAACAGCTTTGATCATTCTAAGAATTTAAATATTATTCAATATTACAAACTGAGTGTGAAAATTCCAAGCTAATCAATTTTTAAAACCAAATTATTTTAAAATTGTGTCATAGCGCTAGAGATGACATGAAAATATCGTATTTAATATGCACATTTCCTGTACTAGAATAATAGGAAAAAGGCGATAAAGTCCCTGCCCTTGTAGCAGATAATTGATTACATTGTAAGCATTTTCTAAACGGCACTATGCTGTTTAATCAGAACGAGGACAAGTGTTTTATTTATTCCAGAATGCAGTATTTTTCGAAAATAAATTGCTTTTTAAATGTATGGTAGTATTTATTGTAGAAAACTACAAAGAAACCTTATTTTTTTCCCTGCAGCGATCCGTTCGTGTATTCTCAGTTTATACACATGACAGAAGCCGTCACTGCGCTGCAAAACTTTCCGATTGCACAGAAAGCAAAAGGCACCAGGGTTTGGCCCAGCTGACACATGCACGTATACATACTATCGAAAAACAAAACATATACAGCACGACATAAAAAAAATGGAAATGTAGCTCGGTTATTTCCACTTGCAATAAATGAAATTCGCTACGTCTCCTTGTGCGTACGGCAGACGTGTTTACAACTACAAACGCAATAGAAAAGAAAACCAAGAAGACGTTGCCGCTTTGCAACCGCCCTGACACGAGATGTATCGGCTTCAGTTTTATTGCAATCTTTTATCGGGGACATAACTTACCAGGCAGACCACTAACGCTACGTATTCAACCAGGTGCAGCCTTTCCAAAAGTCACCAGCTGGCCGCACGCACGCCACGCTGCGCGGATCTGCACTCTTTATCCGAGAAATAAAATACGCTAGACCCGTTTCATGTCTAGACCACGGAACGTTTGTAGCAATGCCGGAATCTATGCTACCTTTTCGGCTGTCCCATTTTTTAATGGAAAGAAAGATCAACCCCACACCGCCTTCGCTGCCATATTTACACTCACGAGGAAGTGCCCACTGCTCCGGCTGCTGGCGCAGGACCCCTCTTTAGAGCCCCGCAGACATGCCTGACACCTCCGCAGCACCGAGGGACCGTACACAACGGGTAAGCGACATTATGTGCTGTACAATTAAGTTAACGCGTGCATTTTAAAAGACATCGTATTTTAACGTTAAGGTGCATTTGGTGTTTAAAAACCGTTCGGAGATAAATATCTGGTGTACAATTGGTAGCAAGCACTCTTCGAAACTATTTAAAGAAAGCTACTGCATTTCCAACGGCGATCTTCCGTAACACCCTACATATAAACATCAGTCGGAAAGCATAACCAAAGAAGTTAAAAAAAGGTCTCCAGAGGAAGCACTCGGGTTATGTTGACCACTGTTTTACGTGCATTGTCCCGGTAAGCTCCTTCACCAATATGGCCGACGGTGCCTTCGTTGGGAGACTTCCGGTCTAGTCTGCTTCGAATCCTTTCCTCACATCCTCAATGTTTGCCTTAGGTAGAAATTACAACTGTGGCTTTTAAAATTTTGTCCATGGGAATTTATTTTTTATAGAAAACAATTTGAACTTATGTTAAACTGTTTGGAATATAAGCATTATTAAACATGCAGTACAATATCCACTCTGGCTAAACTGAGCAGTATTTGTGTATACTGGATATATATACTGTACATCAAAATAAATGTATCTCTCGGTTTATGCATGTAGTTTTATGGGAAAGTCTATATGGAGTTTATATATTGATTGAATGATTTTGTTAGTCATTTGGTTGTTGCACCTAAATGGATTTGACAGTTGCATGAACACCAAATCACTTCAGTAGTGAGAAAGTCGATTGGGTGCAGGTGATGATTCAAATTAACCTGGAATACGCCCAGGGCGTATTATCAAGAGAACAATTCACTCATGCTCTTGGTATTGTAGACTAAGTTAATGCACTGTTGCTTGTTGTCTTTTGGATTACCCTGTAAATTTCATGTTGATAACAAATGTTAATCAACATAATTAGTAGTTATGTAGTTAATAGTGTAGTGCCCTCACTACCTCTACCTATTTATCCATTAGTTATGCATTATATACTGTCATTATGATTTAGTGCACTTTTTGTGATTTGATGTGTGTTTTGCACTTTTGTGGGAGAAGCCAAAGTCAAATTTACACAGTAGTGGTCAATAAAGATTCTAATAATATCATTATTATGATAATATACAGTAATTGACCAGTTTAAATGGTAAAAAGG